AAATTAACGCGTTTTTTATTAAATAAAACAAATAATTGATTATAATAATAAATTCATAAAAAATTAAAAGTTTTTTTTATATTTCTTTAATTTATGTTTTAATTTGCATTTGCAATATGCTTTAATGTAAATAGAAAGAAACTGTTGAAAGTTATGTAGTCTAATTTGTTCTAGCCCATCCATTTTGAAGTAACGGATTTATCTACAATCTCTACAATTTACAATTTGTTACCTCAAAATTAAATAAAAGTTTCTCATTTACCGGCACTGATGCGCAACAGCGGAGTTGTTGATATTGAAGCTACGTTCTCTGTAACATACAAATATAAAATCCAAATTATACAGCACAGCTTAAAATAATTAATATTTTAGAAAATTATTATTGTACGCACCAAATTTTATATCCGATGCGTACAATAATAAGCAGGTATATAAATATGGAATAATAAGCAGGTAAATAAATATGGAATAATTTTATAAATTCTAAAAAAAAAACTATTTTTTTTTATTAAATAAAAACTTTTATAGGATTTATATAAAAATCTTTCTCTTTGTATGAGTCTCTCTTGTTTAAACTATTCAAATAAATGAACCGAATTAATGTATACGGAATTAATAATAATTAATATACAAATAATAATACTTACTCTAGGGTTAGTCATATTTGATCGATTGTTATACTCGCGATGCGAGATTATATTTGACTGTAGGAAATGTATATGAGAATTATTTAAAAAAAAATAGTTATTTCTTGTAAATATATATATAAATATATATATATATATATATCTCGCAAAAGAGTGTAAATAGAATAGACCTCCACGTTTCGGAAATCCCAATTTTCGTATGATGTATAAAAATATATCCAAGTCTCGAGAAAGGTAAATTATATATATAGTTATATACAGGGTGTCCCAGAATTACCGCATCACCTACTAATGACAAATTCTTGAGATTATTTTAAGATTATCTTTCCTGAGCAAAAATATCGAGGCATCAATAATTTCCGTGTTATAAGCGATTCAAAAAAGGGCTTTTTGCAAACTAAACTTTATAGAGAGTTAAAACTACATTCTTTAGTTAATTTCAGATAGACTTATTACTTTAATAGAAAGAATTATTTTAATAGAGAGAGAGAATTTTAATTTAAGGCTTAAGTTACAAAGATATATGATGGAAAAAATTGGAAACTTGAAAAAACGATGATCTCTCTCGACATTTTTGCTGAGGAAAAATTGTCTTCAAATGATCTCAAAGATCTGTGTCTAGCAAGTAGTGCGGTAACTCTGGGACACCCTGTATATAATTTAATATATTTTTCTTTCTCTCTCATTGAAACACGATATTAAGGACGTCTCTAAATTGATGTTCCATTCGTTTCTTACACTGCAATTCGTGCTGTGAAGTGACTTGATCTTCCTTGAAGTACTCTCACAGCCAAGTGCCGTCCTTTCCTCTTCATAGGGCGAGCAATCGGTGCGGTTGTAAGGCGCCCTTCCGTCTTTTAATTAACGCGCCAGCCGTTTTCGGTGCTGGTTTAATTAACCGAATGAACTTCTCTGCAAGGCGACCGAGTTCCAAGAATTAATAAACGCGAGTGTAATGTTTACAGGTAGCATAATAATTAATTTCTATGGTGACTAAGTTTCGTGGCACTGTCGAATGCTTCGTGAAACTTTATTTAAATATACCAACAAGTGACAAATTAATTTGCCGAGTTAATAGTATCCGATATTCGAATTGAAAAGTTTATTTCAAAGTAAAGATTACGCATTTATGATAGTATTATTGAAAGCTTTGCAGCACAATCTCAATTTTTAAAATTTTATTTAATTTGATTTTTTAAAAATTTGGAAACAAGCTTTTTAAATTAAAGATTTGACATACAAATTAAAGAGCTAATTCTAGTTAATATTTTACGAATAAAAAAAAAAATATATATATATATATATACATATAAGTTTCATATAAATATTTTTATTAATGGCATACCATAGAACTGTCTTTGTAAAGAGTACAATAAAACTTGCAAAAGAAAATAACTATGTATAGTTAGTGTACGCAAACCACATTTATCGATTACTCTATTGCTTTCCTTGGTAATTAAACATTCCGCGGTTAATTTCTTAACTTCGACCAAGTTTGAAACTTTGTGATGGAATAAGAGTCTAGCAATTATGTGTTAAATTATATATTAATTTATAGCAACATAAAAGTTTAAAATTTTCCGGTAGAATAAAAGTTTGAGGCGTAATTATGTTAAAACAGTTTATATTTAATTTAAACTGAGAAATTGGTAACATGTTTTACTACTTGACACATTTGTAATCTGTCAAATGTACGATCTTCGTGGAAAGACACGGAGAACTGACGACCGAAAGGGAATTTGCCAACAAAATTTTCTAAACAAAATTTTGTGCCTCGTACAAAATTGGCTGGTATCTGGATGAAATAGTCGCGGATTCCCCCAGATATATTTTCTTATTCGTGCGCGTGCTCATCGAATAATCCGGCATAATCTGTCACGAAATCGCTAAGCCTCGAGTAGCTCGAGCTTACGTGATGTCTCGAAAGCGTCTCGACGAGAGATGGTAGCGATATTAAATCCTAGCACAGGTGGATTTTATTCCATCGCGGTATACCTTTGGTATTTCTCGCGTACTTAGATCTCATCCCGGTCGGCTCCAATAATATTTCCGTCAGTTGATATTTCAGGAAATGAGATTTGTCGTCGCATTTGATGCGATTTCGTCTTTTGACCTCAAAATTCCTGATATCGGTATATTTACAACAATTTTCATTATGATCTTCACATTCGTCGTATTACATTTATCACATTTATTATATTTTAATCTATGTCATGTTCTCCTCTTCTCTTATTTACCATTAAGCATCATCGTTTGCTTCTTGTCGGTGAATTTACTTATACCCGCGTAACTTTCACAATGTTCTCATTTTGTGCGCGAGCTCTGCGGCTCGCTGAAAGTTTTACGGGTATTCAAGACGAACGCGTGTCTCCTCATATTTATGACAAGCGCCTTAATGCTCGGGCACGATGTGCCGACACGAATCCCCTGCCACGGAGACTTTCAGCGACTTACTCCTCTCGTTATACCGCCCGAAAGATAATTCTCGTCTTAAAGTGACACATTATACCTCGCGACGTGTTTAACGATGCACCTTATACTCGTTTCGTTCCAAAGATGGCTTGCTGCGCGCTAGTTTTACGAAGGATTTTTGAAAAAAGACCTAAGTGCTTGCCGTACTTGCAAAGTAAAATATTTACCAAAGTATTCTTTATGTGATCTACAGCCTTTCTTTTGCCCAATTTTAACGACGGAACAGTTAACTAAAAAGTCTAATTTTTTCTTGTATAATTTTTTACATATTTTTGTATTCTATTTGTAATTTATACATAAATTTAAACACATGATTGTTTTTTAGATGATATTTAAACAGAACTTCAATCCCTCTTCTTAATTTTTATAATAGATTTTGATAACAAATATTTTTTCTGCAAATTTTCTTTTCTTATTTTTCATAAAGTTAAATATTCAAGTTAAAATATTTAAATGGTTATTAAATAAATAATAACACTTTTAAAAATAAATGTAGGATATTCACTCTCAATCTAAATTTTATAATATAAAATTTATTATTTCTATACATATGACAGAACTCTAATATAATTTATAAATATTTATATATATATAAATTTTATCTTTCAAAAATGTTTTAAAATTTAAAACATTTAAATAAATTTATGATAATAGATGCAGTGTAATTATAAATGATAATGAAATTTCTGCTCAAATCTCACGGAATACATATTTCTTCAACGGAAAGGTAGCTTTGCAAAGGGTCAATCCTACAAAGCCTAGCGAACGAAAGTTACGCTACAAGGTACCTCCAAGGATTTATCCGCCAGGGATGTGCTCGACAACGAATGTTCTTTAAACTACTGTTAAAAGTCGTACTTACTTTTACCTCTCGTGAATGAAACTTTATTGTCTCATCCGCAATTTATTCGTTCGCAACAACTTGGCAATCAACGAATTTAGCATTTAGCTCTGCGCAAAGTAAGAAGTTTATGTTGAAAATTTTAGATGAAAATAAAATGTTAAACGACCGCCTTTTTTACCCGTACTCCACATTTGAATTGCGAATTTGGACTTGACAGAACACCTACAAGATAAGATCTCGCGTCAATCAAAACGCGGAGGCTCGAAAATCAATTCCCTCTGCGAGTATACGCGAGTTGGTAGGAAATTACGAGGATCTCTCATAAGTCTAGGTGGAAATGAATTTCCGAAATCGATTGTTAATGTCGCGCTGTCTATCATGCGTCCTGATTTCCTTCCTCGTGTCAAAAAAAAAAAACGAATAGCGCGCGAGAAATTCATTGAAATGTGGCGAGAGACAAATTTGGTAGAAAAGAACGAATATTGGAAATGTCCGTACCAAAATAAATTTTCCAACTTGACAACTTTCTCTCGCGTCATTAAACTAATATTACGACGCAAATAGAAAATAAAAAAAAATCAAATTCTTCAATTTGTACGATGTAATTATTTTAAAATCACTCTCTCATGACGTTTTATATAAATGTTAAATACATTGCATGTTACTTTATCGTAGAATTTTTAAAGCGGAAACAAATTATAACGATAATAATCATTACAAGCTATAATCAAAGATGCTGATTGATTTTGAAGATATTATGTAAAGTGCTAGGTATAAATGTATATATACATTTTCTATTTTTTTCGACCCATACAGCACGATAATTAATGTTATTATGCGTATAAGTAAAAGCGATTATTAGTACTTTTCCGAGATAAAACTGGCACCGAAATGAAAAAAAGCACCAATGAGTACATAAGTCGCTCAATCGTGCGACGCCGATCATTCTAAAATCGATTCTCGATGTTGCTGACCCTCGTGCGCCCACACGTGGTCGAACTTGGGCCAACGCATGCTGTTGGACTGCCATTTTAAAGAAGGCCGGAATGACGATAAACATGAGGCGACTCCACGGCCTTGTGGTCACCTTCACCAGCCCAGAGTCCCACCTGGTAAGCCTCAGTATCACAAGCTTGAAAAAAATCAGCAAGTGAAAGAAATGAAGTTGAGAGCTCAGCTCGCGAGCTCTCATTTGATTGGCCCGGACACGCACCTGTATATACCTAATTGGCTAACTTTCACGCGAGAAATTAGCTTTTTAGAGAGGAGTGATCACCAGAGCACTTTCTTTTCTTCTTCTTCTCCTCTATTTTTCTCTTCCTCTTCTTTCTTTCTTATTTTTTCTCTTTTTATTTTTTTTTCTACTTCTTTTACTCAGTCTTTAAAATGGATGATATTTGACTAGTAAAAACTTTCGGATATTTTGAGATGTTCCTTTTGAAATAAATATATGTATGTCCGAACGTATAATATGATCATTTGATAAAATAAAATTACATTTCTTTTTTGTTATATGTATGAATTATTAATTTATAGAGAAAAATATTGTTTAAACGCGTACGTTGCTTTCTAATTTAATTATTTCTTATAATGATAATATTTCCTTTACAAAAAACTTATATACCATAACCGCGCAGTCTAAAAAAAATAATT